TCTTTTCGTTAGTTCGGCAATGTACGTTTTGTACCTTTCACTTATTTCTTGTACCGTTTTCTTGTAATTTCTGCGTTTCAAAAATAAGAAATGAATAAAGAGCAAATGAAATGATGCTCAAGAAATATGCATGTATCAGCAATATCGAAAGTACTTTTTAAGATTTATTACTTATTTGAACACCCAACGCATTTTCACAAACTGAAAAGTAACTTAATATTTTTTCAAATAATAACTCTTTGCCAAACTTTGAACAGTCTTAAATCAAATTTTTAATTTTATTAAGTGTTCTAAGAAATGCTATCACTTCATTCTGTTGTAATTTTTTTGTTTCTTTCTGAACTATTGCTCCAAAAGCTGTCTAATTTGGTCGCAAAAAAAATAGTTTGAACTTATTTAGAGTTAAGGTTCTCTTCAGAAAGAAAAAAAATTGTATAGACAGGTTCGGTTTTAAAAACAGTTTTTCTGCTGTTAGAAATTACCAAGTGGATGCATCGTGGTTTCAGTCATTAACCTGGAAAAAAAGTTTCATTTTAATCATCTAATTTAAATATACAGAGCTGAGAAGAATTTTGTAAAATGCGAAAAGAAAATGTTTGCTTTTTTTTTGCAATTTTATTTGAAGGAAAAACCGCAGGTGAAACGAAAATCTGAAGTGCCCTAGTCAGTAACAGAATTATTAGATTTTAAGCTGATTGAACAAACCATTTTTTAATTTTCTAAGTGACTTTTTAAATATTTTGAACAATTCAACAAATACCGCAACTGAGGTAAAGTACAAAGCGAGTTTGATGTTTGAATGTTAAAGAAAATTCATATATTCATCACGTATATATTTACTTACGAGCTGAAGCGAGTACGAAAAGTCTGAAAATATTATAGCCAGCGACTTTATACAACCTTTAGTTAAATACCTTAGAGAGCTATCTGAAGTAGACAGTAGCATCATAAATTGAGATTGTTTTCTCAATAGTTTTTGGAATGATCACTTATTCGATTTATCTGTTTCGACTGTCAGAAAAAGAGGAGACTACCACTGTCACTCAATGTTTCAATAATTTTCCAAAATTTACTCTTTTAACTAGCTTTTACAGAAGTCTTTTTCTTTACTTCAAAAATAGCAAATAAATACAAGAAATTTGAATTATTTAATTTTTCAGTTGGTTATCGTTTTAGTCTTTCAGCAACATTTGAATTATCGAAAACAAAAAAACAATAAACAGATAAATTTTCCTTCTCGCAC